AAGCTCCTTATACTTTTGATGAATTACTAAATTAAAAATCATTTTATTGGGGACTCTTAGAGCTCTTATACTATTCCATACATCAATTGTATCAAGCATATTTATACATTTGTTATCATCATTTCCAAAAGATTTTCTACTTGAGTCCTTGATGTAAGCTCATCTTTTCCCCCCTCCCTCATGTATGCTTCATCAATTATATATTGCTATTGTTATTTTGTGTCTTACACTGTCCATTGTTTCCCTTCACCCACATTTCTGTTCTTTGTCCCCTGGGGTGGGGTGGGGAGCTATATATCCATTCTTGTGATGGGTTCCCCCTTTCTTACCCTCCCCCCTCCCTGACCATTCTCCTACCCTCAGATATCGCTACTCCCATTACTGTTCCTGAAGGGTGTATCTTTCCTGAATTCCATGTATGGGAACTTTTATCTGTACCAATGTGTATTTTCCAGTCTAGCCAGATTTATACGTTAGAAGTGGATCATTAGTGGGGGTGGGAGGAAGTATTCAGGAACTAGAGCAGTGGTTCTCAACCCTCCTAATGCTATGACCCTTTAATACAGTTTCTCATGTTGTGTTGACCCCCCCAACCATAAAATTATTTTCATTACTACTTCATAACTGTAATTTTGCTACTGTTAGGAATCAGACGACCCCTGTGAAAGGGTTGTTCAACCCCCAAAGGGGTCATGACCCAGAGGTTGAGAACCGCTGAACTAGAGGAATGATGTGTGTTTCGTTGGTGCTACACTATACCTTGGTTGAATCATCTCTTCCTTATACCACTTCTGTGGGGGGTGATATCCAATTATCTACACATGGGCTTTGGGTCTCCAATCCAACTACCCTCTTTCGCATTGATATAGTTGTTTCTTTGGGATCTTTTGATACCCGATGCCTGATCCCATTGGTATGCTTCTTCCATGTGGGCTTATTTGCTTCCCTGCTAAATTGCCGCTTGTTTGACTTCAAGCCTTTAAGACCCCAGATGCTAACTCTTTTGATAGCCGGGCACCATCTGATCTCTTCACCACAGCTGCTTATGCACCCATTTTGTCTTTAGTGATTGTGTCATGAAGGTGAGCATCATGGAATGCCAGGTTATTAGAACAAAGTGTTCTTGCATGGAGGGAGTACTTGAGTAGAGGCCCAATGTCTGTCTGCTACCTTAATACTTAATATATAAATATAGATACATTGACCTCAATTCTTTTCATTATAAATTAATATATTTACATATATACATGCCTACAACTATACCTCTATAAATAGCTTTTGCCTCCAATTGCTTTCCTCCATTTCCTTTCACTTTCCCCCTATCCCACTTTCAGGCTCACCCTCCATTCAGCTCTCAGTATTTCCTCTCAGATACATTGCTTTTAATCAAGCCCAACCCTGCTTTATATGCCCTCATCACCATCAATTTTAGAACTCTTGTTCCCTTATCTCTGTGTTTATTGGCTACTCACTCCCCCGCCCCACCCCTCCTCTCCCATGTCCCCCCCAGAACAGCCAGTCCTGTAGTTTTCTCCTCCGGATTGTTCATCCTGCCTATCCTATACAGATAGATATGGGTAATAGAAACAAAACACAACACAATAAAACAAATGAACAAACAAAACAGAAAAAAAAGATAGTTTCAGGTCTGTCTGCTGACCCTTATGTTTGTTTTCTAATCAAGTCTGATGAGGTGCCAAACCCTGTCCCCAACATCAGAACTCTGTTTTCAGGATTCATGGGACACTTGGTTCCTTTACTCCCCTTGCAGCTTAGTTGCACCACTCCCTTCACCTCCCACGCTACTGCACGTGCGGCAGACTGGGTGTGACTTCTGCACAGAGTTCTAGTGCTGCCCCCATAGTGCTGGTGAGGGAAATTTGTGTATCATGGTGGGACTGGCTCTATGGTCCTCTCTATGTACTGGCTGCTCATAGCAGGGATCTCGTCCATGGGGCTTGGTGGACCATGATGAGGCTCTCTCTCTCTCTCTCTCTCTCTCTCTCTCCCTCTCTCTTTCTCTCGCTCTCTCCCTCTTAGTTTGCTCCTCTGTGGTCTGGACAGACCCACTTATCTCCCAAGGCTATATCTTCAGTGAGTAATGGTCTTTTAATACAATGTTTAAATTGATTAAATATTCAACCTAGTTTTGTATACTTGTTTATTCAAAACAAGATCTTAACATTAATGTAATGCTTTGTTCTTTGGCCTTTACCATAGCCTCCTACCCTAAGCAACCATGAGAAGGGTGCATAGAAGTTGTATTTCTTGTGTTACCGTGTTCTATATACCTAATGACATTTTACTAGCAATTTCTCACCTTTTTTCTTAGATATGTAGTTTGTAATTTCCTTAAAACTTGTTCTTAATAAGCCTGTTTTCATCCTTGATAAAAGTTATCAGGATTGCCCCTTTGGGATGGACAAAATGTTGCCGTAACTCTCTGCATTGACATCTCTGCATTGACGTCTCTGCCTTAGATTTCATTTACCCGGCAGACTCCCTTGGACCTGATTTTCAAAGGCACTCGAACGAGACAAAGGCACATGTATGAGAGAACTTGTCTGAAGCCAGTCATTGTTTGCAGACACATGTTTAAAAGTATTTTGTTTGGAATAGATTTGTTCATATATGACCTCTATCATAATGTTGTAATGCCTTATTAAATTGCTTCTAATTTTGAACTTTAGAAATAGTGGGGGATAAAATTTTAGGAAAAGGTGTAAATAACATGTTTAAATGTCTTTTTTTTTTAAAGAAATGTAAGATTTAATTGATTTTTCTTGTGTGAAACCTCTTCAAATGTCTCAGGTTAGATAAAACATACAAGAATGGAAGGGCTAAATTGATTTTCCATTTCTGTTTATTGCAGGGATGAGTCAGAACTTAATCTACCTTAAACATGGATATTGAACAGATGCTAATATGGGATAGGAGACTGAGTTTCAAGTTAATTATCTATAGTTATGGAGGTGTTTCAGGAATTGAGCTGTCCAGTTCCATAATCTTTTGAAAAGTAATAAAGATTTTAAGTGCTACATTTTATCAGGAAAATTAATAAAATAAAATATGCTATAAGATAAAACAGGATATTCACAGTCTGAATATTGAAATCCTAGTCACAACTACTGGCCACTTAATTGACCGCACTCTGTAATAGTTTGACCCAATTTGAAGAATATGCTTGTTCTGTCGATAAATCAGGATTTTTTGAAATGACCTAACAGCAGGAACTTCCCTTTAGAGAAGAGCCCAATTTTAGTGTCACATCTCCTTTAAAAGTTATATTATTTTTTCCCTGTATAAATAAGAATTCAAATATATTGTATACAGTGTAGGATAACTAAAGATCAAATGATAATCAACTCCCTGAGATCCACTTTTTACCATAAGAATGATATCTATTAAAGTAAAAACAGCATAGTTTCCATTTTATCCATTAACTACTTTGTATTATTTGCACAGAATCCAGGGGGGTGGGGGGAATAAGACTCAACTTGCCCCATAGTTCCCAATGAAATCAGGCCATCACCTTAATTGTGATGTAGTCCGTGCTTTTGAGATTGAAATGATAGGCCATAGTGGGTTTGTCTAGTGAGAATATGAATGTCTTGTCTCAAATGTCATGCCAAATAAGTCTAGCTTTTCATTAGTTTACAGGACAAAAAGGGAAGAATTTCACTTTATGCATTCTAGTATCCTGAACTCAAAAATAATGAGCAAACTCATAAAGGAGGAATTAATAAAGTCTTTTGGAACTGAAACAAAATTATTAGATTACACTCAACTCCTACTAATTAGCTGTCCTTTAAGAATTTATATGCAAACATCTATAATTCTGCCTGTGTTGATTGCTAGAAGCCATAAATAATTAGGTAACACTTTCCCTGCATTCCAGGCAGTACAGTATGTGTAAGGAATACACCCAAGGAGGGAGATTTGGACAGTTATATTGCTGTAAAGTGTCATTGGTTTTTTAAATTTTTATAATGCACCCATAGGAAAGAAAACTCAAGAAGAAACTTTAGATTTAGACTATCAATTCTCTTACTAAGTTTCCCAGACAAGCAAAAGGTTACAGTTGAGCAAGCAAATTTTAAAGAGAGATCCTTAGCTTTAATTCTTATTACCAACTCTAGCACCAAGGAATGTTTTATACCAACCTTGACATTTTTCTAACCCTCTATGAAAAGTATGCACTGGTGACTACTCTGTGATTGTGCTTGTGAATTCTGTAGTCCACCTAAGCACATCTAAGCATATGTACCCACTGGAAGCCTTTCTATTCTTCTGTAACCCCTCCCCCTACCGTTTTCTTTTTAATTTCAATCAAACCTAACTAATCAATGGTTTTATTTTAATATCTTTGTTCCTTGATGCATATCCATGTTCCGATATGGTCATGTTTTTCTCTATACAAAATGGCGATTCCTCCAATTCTCACTAACGCCTAAAAATCCTCTGAATTTTCATTTTCGGTCTCAGTATTTTTCAAATTTCCCTTGATTTGACAGTGGCAAGTATGATAATTTCATGTTCTAAATTATTTTGAATAAATATAGAATTGTATTAACTTGTGCTTAACTACTTTCCTCTCTGCTTTTCTCTGATGGGCTCGTTTAACATCCAGTGGACATTGCTCAGACACTCAAAGATATAAAAAGTGAACCCTCTCATTGTGAACCGGGCTGTCGTATACCCATGACCACCCTCTTTTCTGTCTTTGTATTTTAAGAGCTAAAAATCCATTTCAAACCTGTTTTACTGAAGCAGGTCACTCTCCTTAAGGGGACTTCCCTCTGTGAGTAAAGATGAGTGGAACTGCCATATTCGTGAGTGTCTTCAGCTTTCTGGCTATAAAGACCTTGAAAGTATCTCTCTTGACAGTTCTGAGGAAGATCCCCTTTGTGGCGGCCACACGAGGGAACTGTTTTCCTCCTGGCACAGTTGCTCTGTGGTGCGCGGAAGACTGGGAGTCTCAGGGTTGCTTTTCTTTGTAGGTATGAAGTGCTTGCGGATAGCTGGGCTTTAGCTTCTGGATGCAGTCTGACGTCCCTCAGGGAGAACTGGGAAATGGAAGTGAGAATGTTAATTGCAGAAAACTGAAATTTCGTAAGTAAACAAAGCTTTATTTTCTACTACGCTGGTTTGTCTCCCCATGGGTCTAAAAATATATTATTATATTGGGCCTATCCTGTGATATATTTACCCTAGAGGTAACTAACATATTTTAAATTGTGCTTAATTTGGTTTATGTATTTTCATCAAGATTAACTAAAAAGGGAAATGAATAGTCAAATAATTGAAGAAAATTATTTTTATTTAAAAATATCTTCATATGCTTCATAATAATTATTTTATAACTGTACATTTAAGATCAAATTATATAATGCAAAGTCTTTTTTTAAAGAAATGTTATAAATCATACAGATCATTTTAAATATGAATTTTAATGGCATTTATTTTAAAAAGACCCTTTTCAAGAATCCCTCCTCAGCTTTAATTCAGATTATTGTAAAGTCCTTTGAAATAAATGTGTTCCGGATTGTTTTTTAGTAAGGGCCCTGGTGGTATAGTGGTGATGTTCTGGTCTGCGAACTGCACGGCTAGCAGTTCCAAGCCATCAGCAGCTCTACAGGAGCAAGATGAATTTTTCCACACCTATCAAGCTCTTCTGTGTGGAAAACCCACGGAGGCATGGGTTTCTACCATGTCCTATGCGGTGGTTTTGAGTTGGTGAATGAATGAGTGAGAGATTGCTTTTAATAGCCTACCAAAATATGCTAATTTTTTTTTTTTTAAATACTTACACATATTTACTTAAAGGATTCTGATTAACTTATGTATATCTGGATCTCTATGTAATTTAACTTCCAATGAAATTAATGTAATCCAACTAAGAATTTATTTAGATAATAGACCTCCCCTAAGAAAACAAATTGGGATTCCCACGACACCAGCCATATTGACATATTTAGTCTGGGTTTTAAGAAAGATAAGACCAAACCTGAACCTATTCAAGAGAGTAGTGCATTTGAAAGCAGCATTTTGGGAGATGAGAGCACTAGGTATTCTAATCTGGAAAGGGGAAACTAACAAGAGACGCAGGTTTGATGTATCAACCTCAAAAATTTGAAGGATAACTAATGCCAAGAGGCTAGATGAGAATATCACCGGTGCGATAGTTAGGCTTATATGTCAGTTTGGCTAGGCCTTGACCTAGAACTTGTCCATCTGTTTTCATGGTGGTATAGTCACAGTCAATAATAGAAGTGTAGGGAACTGGAACTGTGCTCAAATGAAGTCGAATTTTTGTGCTGCCCATAGAAACAAATTGGAGATCTTGAAAAACAAGTGGGTTTTCTGCCACTCTATGCATCAACTCAGTGACTAATTTTGGTTTTTAAGTTCTTACTCTGTAAAGAATATACTTAAGAGATTTGAAGGATGGTAGGCTACACTAGATCTTTCAACAACTCTGTGAAAACTATTGAATTACACACTTTAAATGGGTGATTGTACAATGCGTGAATTCTATATCATTAAAACCACTACAAAATGCACACTGCCCTTTACAAAAGATGTGTGAAATCCTTAGTGCAAAACAATAAATAAATGAACATGTACTTTGATGCCTGTGGAATAATTATAGAAATATAGGAATTCAACCTTATAATTTATAAAACATATGAAATTGATTTAATCACATTTTATTAATAATTTCCTTATAATTTGGTAGCTCCAAAAATGCTTTTTCCAATTTCTTGTGAAGCAATGATGTCGAATCTCTAAGTGAAGGCTACTAATTTATCTGCCTCTGAGGACCTTATCTCTTAATAATCTAGATTTAGCCCAAGATTCTCCATTTAGGTTTGCATGTCACACTAAGATTTCCTACCCGAGGGTGGCCTTTGACTTCTTAATGCACTCTAAGGTGTCATTTCTATAAATACCTCTTCTCTTCCCTTGTCAACTATGTAAAAACAGATATTTTACATTTATAGGAACAGAAAAAAATTCTAATATTTAGCTAATTTTGACATTAAGTATATCACAACTGAGAAAAAGGCATAGAAGCCACCTCTGACCTCATCCTACTACAGAAAGAGGAGAATCATCACACACCAACCCAACACATTGCAACAAGGGTGGGGGGGGGGGCGGGGTTTGAGCCAGGCCCTGCCCTGCATCTTTCTTTATCTGACACTAACAGTTCCTCACATGAACTCTATTTTTCTGCTCAGTTTAATAATTAATTGCAATCACCACACAGAATTCACAGATAGCACTCATAATTACAGAGGTTCATTAGGGAAACAAGGGAGACCTAGTGATGTAGTAGGCTATGCATTGGGCTGATAACTGCCAAGTCAGCAGTTCAAAACCACCAGCCTCTCCTTGGTAAGAAAGATGAGGCTTTCTACTCCTATAAAGATTTCCAGTCTCCAATGCTTTGTCTCATGGTCTCCTTGCAAGATGAGAGTATCACTGACTATGGTACTTAGGGTTATATATCAATTTTGCTAAGCTTCTAATTTCAGTGATGTAGCAGCTATGTACTGATGTAATTTCACATATATAATTTAAGATATGATGTAGTCATTCTCCATTTTTGCGGGACTCCCATTTTTTGGTATAATCTCCTGATCTTGGGAATCTAACTAAGCAAATTATTGAGCAGACATAAATCATGTTAAAGCTTTCCAAGTTCTTTGGGGGCTGCTAATGAATGCCCCCAAAGGCTTCCTACTCTGCTCTAAACTTCAACCTGAAGGCACTAAAGTCCAGCTCAGTGGGTCACCAAATCTAGGTCCCTAAATGAAGTGCTGAGTCACCCCATTCCACCAGCCTGTGTCCTGCCCCAGAACACTCAACTTTGCTTGGACCATGGGCTGGGGGTCCACAGCTCTGTCCATCATCTGGTTCCTGGTTCTGCTCTGCTGCTCCTTTGTCACTCCTCTGGTGTTAAGAGCTTCGTTACACGCCTTGACTGAACAACTGCAACCAGAGGCTTTCTCACCTGAGTAGCCACCGTTGCCTTCTCTAATGACCCCTGTAATTGTAAGCATCGTCTGTGAGTGATCTATGTGCCCGTTGTGTGGGATTCTAGGACTCAGTGTAAAAGTTGAATGCTTGTGAGACTATCAACTATTGGATGTATATGAACTACTAAAAGCGTCAACAAATCTACCTGGGAAGTGTGGCCAGAATTCACCTTCGAAGTAAGAATGGAATGATTTCATCTCACGTATTGTGGACATCTTATCAGGAAGGTCTAATCCTCATAAGAAGACATCATGTTTGGCAAAGTAGTCACATACTCATTGCTATAGGATTAATTCCAAGTTATAATGACTCTTTAAGACAGGTAGAATCAAGACTTGCCCTGATGGGTGTCCAAGACGGGAACTCTTTATGGAAGTAGAAAGCATTACTTTTCTGCTAACCTTGAATTAGCAACCTGACAGGTAACCCAGAGTAACTCCCAGAAGAGAAGATAAAGTTGCAAAGAAGGCACTCACTGAGATGAGTTGACATAACGGTACAGCAAGGGTCCCAGGCAGCAGCAATTGTGAGAATGAGACAGGACTAGGCAGTGTTTCATTTTGTAGTATGTAGGCTGTCTGTGAGACATAATTAACTAGAGGTCACTGAACAAAACAACACTGTTGTTCTTATATTTTTTCAGTTCAGTTTTTATCTGAAACAATTAAGGCACTTTAATAATTGATAGCATTTGAGCCTTCCTAGAGCTTGTGAAAAGCCAAACAAATGTTCATTGAACAAGTATGGAAGTTAAGTTTTAATCATAATCCTCCCTTTTTTTTTCTTCCACAAAAGCTTCCGTGCATTCAGTTTTAGAGAATTTCTTCCCCCAGCCTTTTGAGATGAACAATAGTGTGTGCCCAAGATTTTCAAAGCCCTAGCTTCCTAAGGGAGGATTAGACAAACAAACTTTACAGCATTGTCTCTAGTATGTCTGCCGAAAGACACATAAAAATAACTGGGCTTTATAATTTTGAAAAGATCATGATTATTCATATTGTTAGACTTCAAAAGGAAAAGACATATGAGTATAGATAATTATACATATCTTAAAAGTATTCCAGAAAAACATGACTTCCTGATTTGTTTTCCCATTTGTAAAACATCAAGTAAAAAGATTTTAAAAGCAAATATCACACAAAAACCCTTGCCTGTAAATAGTACATGACAGTGATTATTAAACATCATTAAGGCAAATTCCTGGCCTTATAATGCATGACATTTATATATATGTTATTTTTTCAATATTATACTTTTAAAACAATTAATGTTAGTGTACCCATTTTATTTTAAAGAAATAAAACTGCAGACAAGTCTTAATATATCAGAGTTAAACTATCATATTAATAATGACATTTGCAGCAAAGAATAAACTAATTGAACATTAGACTAAGTGAAAAGTAGTTTCACTCTTATATTTCAAAAATCTAGGGGTAGTGTAAGATGATTCCTCAATGAGGAAATTAAGATTAAGAGCTTTGATATTTTTATGAATCCTCATAGATTGTTTCATCCCCTCGATATACCATCTTGGCTCTGGCGTGATTCTCAGTGGTTTGGCAATTATATGATGGTGTGATCATATCTCATGATGTGATCTGATGTGATAAGTCAATCAGTTAAAGGGTCACAGTACTCATCCTAGTAAGGGAACTTCCCTTGGGGTGAGACCTGTATTACCATTTACCTCATACAAGATAAGAGGAAAAGAGAGGGGGACCTAAAGATAAACAGAGAGAGGGGGACCTAAACATCCCCCAAAAGATGAGCTCGGAGCATAGAGCATACGTTAGACCCAAGGTTCCTGCTCTGAGTAGTTATTAGACCCAGGGGAAGGTGTTGAGAGTACGATATTTAAAGATCTGACATTTCCAGGGAAAGGAAGCTCTTTAGAAAGAACCGTGACACAAACCTCTTCATCAAGACATGGAAACAAATAGATATGGTGGAGGACCCTAGAGAACTGAATCTCTGAGGAATGAAAAGTCAATAAGCAAAACACCAAGAGTTCAAGAGGAGCAGTCAATTCTTAGCTGGCCAATTATGAGCCACATATAACACCCCCT